TGAATCACGATTTGTTTTTCAAAAGAGTGAGACAACATTCCCAGACGAAAAGGGAAGGGGGTCGTTAATTTTTATCATGTCTAAGACATGATAAAAATTAACAAAAAGTTTTTTTTTTTTTTTTTTTTTTTTTTTGAGTTGTAGAATTTTTCTCAGCTCTGAAAATTTTTTTCCAGCCGACTCGAGACTTTACCATTTATATTTACGAATAGTCTTTGGATTATTTATTTATTTTCTTTTAAAAAGAAAAATTCTGAGCTAGACCTATCTATTGGCTTAACATTCTGGTCATAGAAACAGTCTAGAATCTCATTTTTTTTTCGAGGCTAATGCACGGGTTCTCCAATCAAAAGGGTTACTATAAAGGGATTGGTTTGAATGCATTTATCTGCAAATGTTGTAGGATTCTGTTGTTGAGAAGGGGGTATATTATTATTATTATTATTATGATGATGATGATTGTGGCAGATTCGTTTTCTACATGGAAGTCTAATCTCCTCCGAAGACCTTTTCTGGGGATCGTCGATAGATGGTTTTTCAATAGGAATCGTTTCCCTCGGATCCTCAAGAGATAGAGGGGGGTCCTGTCTTGAGACATGGAGCGGTCTCTCCTCCTCCTCCTCGAGAAGTCTTGAGAAAGGGAGAGGATTTTCGGTTCCCTTATTCTTGAGGGGTCTTGACAAATTGAGAGGTCCCTCCTCTTCGAAAGAGAGAGAAGTTTTGGTTCCCTTATCCTCGAGGGGTTTTGACAAATCGAGAGGTCCCTCATTTTCGAGGGGTCTTGATAAATGGAGAGGTTTTTTCATCTTCGAGGGGGTTTGATAAAGGAAGAGGTCCCTCCTTCTCGAGGGAGGGAGAGGTTTTTCATCTTCGAGGAGGTTTGACAATGGGAGAGATCTCTCCTTCTCGAGGGGTCTCTCTTCCTCAAGGGGTTTTGAGGAAGGGAGAGGTTTTTCATCCTCGACGGGTTTTGACAAACGGAGAGGAATCTGAACAGGCTTCTCCTCATCCCCATCATTATCGAGGAGGATGAGGATAGGCTTTTGGAAAGGTTTTTTCTTTTTCTTCTGAACAGGCTCCTCTTGATGCTCGGGGAGAGGGATGGGGTAGTTGTTCCACCATTCTATTTTTTCTTGCTCGAGGATTTTTTCAAAAGTCGTGGCCTCTCTAAGATGAGACGAAGGAGGAGAGTCCTCGAGAAGAATATAATAGGTATTCTTCCCAGTCTTCTCGATCGAGAGAGGTTCGTGCAAACATTTGTGCAACCATTCACTAAAATGAACGAGAATCCCTTTTGTCTTCTCAAGACGATCCATAATCCTATTCATTTGCGAGACGGTTAGAAAGTGGGACGTGTAAAAATATTTGGCTCGTTTCATTAACAAAATTTGTGCATCCAAAGGTGGAATGTCACGAGCCATCAACACGTTTTCGTCGGACAAAAATTCGTCCCGCATCTTTTGATAACTCCCCACGGTATAATAACCCGCACATTTTGAAAAATCGGAGGCTTTCAGGTAAACGACTCCTTGGATGATATAAAAGGAAAGATCAACATATTTATATTTGAAAGGAATACACGTAGTGAGCTGGGGATGCCTCCTCATGATCCACTTGGACAAAAATACGACTTTGGGGCTCTCCCCTTTTATTTATAGAGAGAAAGAGAGTGTGACCTTCCCTTCCCTCCTCCTCCTCTCTCCCTGCTTCCTCTATCTCTGGACGTCCTTGGATTGGAAAGGGTGACTTTGAAAAAAAAAAAAAAAAAAGGTCATGGTTGGATAATTTTTTGTTTATTAAATTATTACTTTCACTTCCTCATTCCCACACACATTCATCTTTTTAAGAAAAGAAAAGAGGTCATGGAGATAAGATTTCTTGGAAAGAAGAGAGAGAGAGAAACAAAAAAAAACAAATAAAACGGACGTCATAGAGCCTCTATGTGTGTCTGTGTGTGTCTATATAGATATATAAAAAGACGAGAGTACTGGGCGAGATCATTTCTTTTCCATTGGGAGCCATGTCGCTATTAGACGTTTTTCCAACTCAACGGATTTCGAACGGGGAGGATTTGAAGACGCTAAAGCAAATCTCCAACTTGAAAATTTTTTTGGCGTGTCATTGTGCGACATTTATTCCGCATTTACCACCTCATCAAGCGATCGTTTCTTTCAACCAAGATGTCGAATCCTCCAACCTGCTCGTTCAGAATATATACAGAAATTTATTCGAATCGCAACAAACGAAAGAGGAATCTCCCTTCTCTTGGAATCGGATGGATCGAGCTTTGAGACGGCCCATTCAAACAGACCGGCGATATACAGGATCCGCGCACGAGTTTTCGGTGGAAGAATATTTTTCTCACGAAACGATATTTTACGTTTGGAGTGAGAACGACGGCTGAGGACGAAGTTCATATTGTTCAAACCACAGCCGCTCCTCTCGCCTATTACGAATCATCGTCCCCCAATCTGAAGGAAAGAAGTTTTAAAGTCAGCGACAGGATGAAATATAAGAAATATATTCTAAGACCTTTTCAAAACTATGTCGTTCCCCCGAAAACGCAATATCTCATCGTCACAACCCAGAAGAGTCTCTTTCTCGTCGATCGGTGCTCGTACTCGCTTTGGAAACAATTGAAAGAGGAGATTTCTTTCCAATCGCCGATGATGTTTCAAGAAAAAGAAGAAGAAAACCCTCCGCCACCTTTACCCATCCCTTCCTTAGATGATAAGAGGAGCTGGACCAAACCGTTATGGCCCGAAACAAAATCGACCCGGCAACGGAATGAAATTGAAGTCATCACAATTGAAGATGAGGAGGAAGAAAAAAAATTACCTCTTAAAAAACGGTCGACTTACCGGAACCTACCTGGCGTGCAAGATCCGCTTCAGAATCCAGAAGCTTCTTCTTCTTCTTCTTCTTCCCCGACTTGTTCAAACAGGCAACCTCTTTCGGACTCCTCACAGACAGAACCTCTTCCAGTATCCTCTTCTTCTTCTTCTCCAACCTGTCCCGACATCGTAGAGGTAGAATGTCAGACGGGTCCACAAGCTTCAAAAAGTCCCGACATCGTAGAGGTAGAATGTCAGCCGGGTCCACAAGTTCCAACAGGTCCAGAAATCATGGAGGCAGAATCACAGCCGGGTTCACAAGTTCCAACGGGTCCAGAAATCATGGAGGTAGAATTTCAGCCGGGTAAACAAGTTCCAACGGGTCCAGAAATCATGGAGGTAGAATCGCAGCCGGGTCCAGACATCCTAGATCCCTCCACTCATCCCAAAGAGACTCCAAGTGTTTCAAGACAGCCTTGTGAGGATCCAGCCCTTCCCGTATGGAATGATTATATGGACTTACAAAATTTGGTGCAACAGGAAGGAGAAGAAAATAATCATACGGATGGGTGGGTCAAAGACTGTTTAGATCATTTAACCTCGAATGAAATTGAACTGTTATGGAATTGCATTTCTGAAATCACATCGGAAATGGGATAAAAACCAAAACAAAAAAAAATTTTTTTAATAACAAATTGGAGGAGGGTCATGATGTCAATTAAAAAAAATATTATATAGAGTCCAATCTTGGTGGTTCACTTCAGTTTTCCAGCATGAGGTGATCCACGTTTCCCGAAATATGGATCCCATTCCAAGAGAGATTGTGTAGAGCCTTCACTTCAGTTCTTTTTTTTTCCTACCAAGAGGAGAGGGTCCCCAAAGGGTTACCCATGTCCAAAGAGAGAAAGTGTAGAGCGTTCATTTCAGTTTTTTTTTTCAAGTTTAGGGGAGGGAGGTCTCAAAATGACACCCCCCCATTTTCAAAGAGAGATGGTGTAGAGCGTTCATTTCTGTTTTTTTCCAAAGTTAGGGAGTTTTCAAATGGCTACCCATTTCAGAGAAAGAGAGAGAGAGAGAGAGAGAGAGAAGGTGTAGAGCGTTCATTTCAGTTTTCCAACATTAGAAGGTCCCAAAATACCTTCTGAATTCAAAGAGAGATCGTGTAGAGCGTTCATTTCCAGTTCTCCAAGATCAGAAGAAGAGGGTCCGCTTTTCCCAAAAGGGCTTTCCGCATTCAGAGACAGCGAAATGCAGACTTCAGTTTTCTCCCTCCCCAAGAATAGAGGGTCCCAAAATGGCTTCCCATTTCAAAGAGAGAGGGAGAGGCGTTCATTTCCATTCTCCAAGATAGGGTCGTCTGCTTTTTCCCAAAATGGCTTCCCAATTCAAAGAGAGAGAGAGAGAGTAAAAGGGTGTGTAGAGCGGTCATGTTCATTCTCCAAGATAGGGTCGTCAGCTTTTTCTCAAAATGGCATCTCCCCATTCAAAAAGAGATCGTAACCAATTTTTTCCAGTTTTTTCCAAGATGGGGGGGGAGAAGAAAACCTAGGATGGAATAACACGACACACAGAGAGAAAGAGAAAAAAAAAAACGCCATCTTGTCATTTTCTGATAGGGTACCGGTGTTCGAATACTTTTGTGACCGACTGTACATGAACGGAGTTGAAGCAATGCGAGGAATCCTAAATTTAATAGCTGAAACCTTTCAACACCTGTTGCATACGCATATTCGGTAAGCCAGAGAGATTTTCTTACAACGTTCACAACTTCGGGGGGAGGCGGGTAATCCTTCGGATCCATTGCTGACACTAGCACGTGTTAGGCTTAACACCCGCAACGCACACCATAGCACAAAACACGGTCAAAAACGTATTAATCCACAGTAATTAAGACCAGAATTACAGTAGAAGCACACTGAATAACATAAAACACTAATCGAATCCCGAATAATCCACTCTTCATAAGAAAGAAAAAAAAAAAAAAACAAGCTGAACACGGGAGCACGTGAAAACACACCAGTCGAATATCTCCTGGTTAGCTTAGAAACTAAATTTACTAAAATAAATAGTAACAAACATTTTTAATAAAGAAAGCCAACTTTCCTTATCATTTCTCCATCAAGGCAAAAGATTCCGAATAATGTGCAAAACCTGATTTTGTTTTTCCTTTATTGTTGCTTCTTTAAAGTTATCAGGTTTCGGTTTAACTTATCTTGTATGCATTTCCATTATTTGCAGTTCAATTCTACATAGATAAGACTTTTAATTTTTTTTTCTTGAAGGAGAGTTTATTGAAAGTATAAAATTTCGTTTCTTATTTTATTCGTGATTTTGATGTTATAACTGGATACTTATGGAGCGGTAAATTTTTACGACTTTGCATTATTCACGGAAATATATTCATCAGATTTTTATGAAAATGAATTCTACCGCTTACAAAGACGCATATTCTTCATATAGAAAATTATTTATTCGTGATGTAGTTAAGAAAGCATCAGATGGTAAGTATAATTTCGCACTGCTTTTAAAAATAATACTAATGAACAAAATTACTACATTTTCGTGCTTTACAGAAAAACCGACCAGTTCTGACTCCAGGTTTATAATGAAAGCTCATGTGATGGGTCTTATTATAAGTATGAAAAAATATCAGCAGCGGACTATATTCTGTGGTATGTTATATTTATGTAATAAGTTTAAAGCTATGGAATAACATTTATTTCTCTTAAAATAATTATATATTTAATATTTTAAGAGGAATAAATGTTAATATATTAATAATTCTCTTAATATTTCCCTGTTTGCTTCAAATTTCATATCAACAAATATTTTGCACCTCTTACTCAATAATAATGGAATACTTTTCCGTTATGCAGTTGGCACACGCTTTGGTAATATTATTGTAATAATATGTGTGTGCTTTAATTATTCTTTTTTACACGCACATACACACATAGACCCCAGACTGTGATATCATTGTCTCATAGCATGTGTTTAGCTTCTGTTGCACAGGAGCCAAAAAGTGTGGTAGGTTCATAATGAAAAGTACTCTCACTGCGTGCAAATTCTCAATGTGGCAATTGAAAGACTTGAAATATGAAATGGCACTTATGTGTTATCACAGCTACCTTGGTAGAGAGTCATCAGATTTTTGGAATATGCAAAACTCTGGCAACCGTTCTCATAACAATCCTTCAATCAAGCAACATTATGACTTTCGTATGTGTTATTTTTCTTGATTTCCAGGTTCCAACATTTTTTTTTTTTTTATGTATAAATCATGATATTTTTTGCCTAAATTTTAAAGTACGCTCCTGTGGGATTTGTCAGCAGTGGAAGAACCATCAGTAAAATGTATGTAGGAATATAGAAATTTTTCTGCAATATCTGTAAAGGGGAGCAACGATGAGATCTGTTTGATAGATAGCTGGTTTTGCAGAATGAGTTTGCAGTTTTGAAATTCTTTTCTTTTCTTTTCTTTTCTTTTTCTTTCTTTTTTTTTTTTTTTTCTAGTGAGAGCAGATGGCTGTGTATTTGGGAAGAAGAACAGTTTTAAAAATATGACATAAAAGATTTGAAGACAAATTTCTTTATTTAAGTTACTGAAGTATGTTGATAATCTTTATCAATTTGATAAATATTGATAATGGAATCATTTTTAAAGAAGTTGTGAAAACCACCAAATTTGCACCTGATAAGTAGTTTTTATCTTTTCATTTGTCAAAAATGCCAAATGATGACAAGGTGGTTGCGCTAATATGTAAGTACCGATATAACTTTATTATAACCGAACAGAAAATATACTTGCGCATAAAATTAAAGAGAAAATTTTAGCACACGCACACACACATACACCAAAAAAAAAAAAAAAAAAAAAAGAAAAGAAAAGAAAAAGAAACAGCTAAAATACTTATGTTAAAAGAAATGTTGGTTGATCTTTACATTACGGTAACTGGTAGTTTGGCGACATTTTGGAGGCGATAAAGGTTACTACCTGGGACTTTGGTAATAATGTGAGCAGTACTGAGTTCCGATTACGCATTATTTGTGTGGGGGAAAATGAGAGATCATGGGATATGTCATGTGATATTAATGGACGAATTACGGTTCTTTATCGGAAGAAGATCATGGGATATGTCATGTGATTTTAATGGACGAATTACTGTTCTTTAATGGGGAAAAATCTGCGAATTTTGGATTTGGCTTTATTCTGTGTTGTGAAATAGTGTTTGTGAATTTTTGGATCCCGTGGCCGTAAGTAAGTAAAGGAATTCGAAATGGGTATTTAGTGGTATTGAAAAGGATAGTAAGAAATGTTTTTTTAAGGTTTGTTGAGAGAGAATAAAACCCTGTTTTATTATGTTATTTATTTTACGTGGTATTTTGCTTTGAAAGATAAGTATGATTTAAAGATTCTGAAAGAGAATGAAGAAAGTGTATTCGCCACGTAATGAAGATTCTGAAGGAGATTAGGTAAGTTAGTATATTTTTAATTATTTTTATGCATTGTTGGAATGTAAGGTGGAAAGGAATTTGGTATTATTGGGAAAATTGTTTATTAGCAATGATTTAGTTTAAAAGTAATTAGGATTGTAAGGTAATTTTTATTAATTGAATGTATGTGCTCGTGTATATTTTAAGTGGTGTTTTTGAATTTAATTATATTTTAATGAAATGATAGTTATTTGTGAATTTTATACTTGTAGGAATTTGGTGTATGTTTAAGTTGAAATAAATGTGCATGGAAATAATTTAAATATTTGATAATAAATATTGTAATGCTTCATGTATGAATTCGTTGGTGACGTTATAATGTAATAGATGATTTAGAGGTAAAAGTTTTTGGATATTTTATTTATTTTATATGTGGAAATGTTCATATTTGTAAAGGGTAAATACTTTTTCGCGATCATGTAATTTCATATATGTTCTTTTTACGGGTTTAAAAGATTGAGAAAATTGTCATGTATTTCGTGAAATTTTTTAATTTATGAGATAAAAGCAGTGTACATGGATATAGTGAAGAGTGTGCGCAATGCCATTTTTGTGCAATTCTGGGATGTTTTTTTAAGTAAAAATAAGTCGACGTGTACATGGTTCAGTGATATTTTAATGAAATGATAGTTATTTTGTGAATTTTATGCTTGTAGGAATTTGGTTTACGTTTAAGTTGAAATAAACGTGCATGGAAATAATTTAAATATTTGATACTAAATATTTGTAATGCTTCATGTATGAATTCGTTGGTGACGTGTATAATGTAATAGATGATTTAGAGGTAAAAGTTTTTGGATATTTTATTTATTTTATGTGGAAATGTTCATATTTGTAAAGGGTAAATACTTTTTCGCGATCAGGTAATTCATATATGTTCTTTTTACCGGGTTTAAAGATTGAGAAAATTGTCATGTATTTTCGTGAAATTTTTCGAATTTATGAGAAAAAAGCAGTGTACATGGATATAGTGAAGAGTGTGTGCGCAATGCCATTTTTGTGCAATTCTGGGATGTTTTTTTAAGTAAAAATAAGTCGGCGTGTACATGGTTTATGTGTATGTGTTATTTTGAAAAACGCGTAAGGTGTATGGTATTGTGCACTTTTTCCGAATTTTGCAGTGAATATTTGTCATGATTAAGCAGTTTTGTTTGATAAAATTTCTAGCATAAGTGTAATTCGGCTAGTAGATTGTTGGAAGAAGTGTTCAGTAGATAAGAAGAAAAGAAACATGTCTTTACTTCGGGAAGACAAAATGGCGGCGGGGAAAAAAAAAATAGGGGGTTGCTGTAGGGGAGTTGGTCGCCAAATTTTCGCCAAAAAATCGCCAAGTTACCGTAATGTAAAGATCAACCGAAATGTTTAATCAACAAACCAATAAATATTCAACTTTTTTTTAGTGTTTATTAATATCATTAATGTGTGTTTGTTTCATTAATTATAAAATTTTTATGTGCCATCTTATTAAACTTAAACTCATGGTCTAAAATTTGGAAATTTCCAAAAAATGTGCCTAAGTGCCATCTGCCAGTTTCGTATCTCAGACTTTGCTTTGTACAGAAATTTTACTCTTCATGTTATAATGAGAAAAAAGATTCTGTTTCAAACATAGTTTCTCCAAAATGTTTTAATTTTTCTTGATTCCTTGGTTATTTTTATGAAAATTTCAGTGTTTTGATTGTGCATTTTTTGCTTTAATTCTTGTTTTATTTGCAGTGGACGATGGAACTGGTCAACTTGAATGTGTCTTGTGGCATAATGAATCTGCCTTACTCACTAGGATTAGTGATCTTAAAAAAGCATTAGGTAATAAAGTAATTCTATTTGTCATTTAGTAACCTGACTTTAAAATATTACAATAAATTCAATGTAAGGAAACTGTGGTACTTTTTTCTTATTAGGGCACCGCCACCCACTGAGTGTAAATGTTGGCTAAAATCTGACTAAAGATATAATTAGTAACTTTGCAGTAAAACCGTACAGAGCTGAGAAAATTGCGTGTGTGGCCCGCCACAAGTCACTGTTTTGAAGATGTTACGATGTGTGAGACGGCATAGTTTGACATCGCAGGTCAATAATTCATTCCAGTTTGTAGTACAAGAAACATAACTTCACGACCAGCGTCAAAAGATTTTAGCATTCTACACAGTTTCTATCGTCAAAGGCCTCTCAATTTCAGGAAGGATGACAAACCAATTATCTTGTTTTTCCTCTGGTATCATTCCAGATATAATGAATCAGAGGATGTAAAATACAATTGAAAAATTAATGAAGCATGACTAATTCAGTCTGCAGTTTGTTTCCAGCGGAACAACATACCAGAATGCTCTGGAACTCTCGATTACTGAGACTAGCTGTTAGCAAGATCCTTAAATAATGAGGACGGTACCTAATCTACAATAATATGCTTTTCATGTTATTATGCATTGTGTAGGAAATTTTCATAAATTTGTAGTAAATATATTTTACTTTGAAAAATGCAATAGGTATTATGCAATTTCAACCAACGTATTAAACAAACACAGTCAAACGTCTTAAATTTGGACTCGTCGGGACTTCGGCGATTCTGGATTATCGATTTTTCCGGATTACAGATCATCAGTTTAAATCTGGTGACAAGGCATGCAGAAATTATAAAATTAAAAATATGAAACCGTAATTTATAAAATAATTTTAATCAAAATTAAAAAAAAAAAAAAAAGCGTAATATTTGTTTACTTTATTAAACATTTCTTTCAATGCGTGCATGCGTAAAAGCATACATTACACATAGTCAAAATTAGAAAATTGCAACCAGAAAACTATTTGATGTGTACTCGTGATGTTTATAATGACGAAGAATTTGATTTAAATCATATCAAAGATGGAATACATCGAGATGAAATACTACATTTAGTAAGGAATTAAAAGCTGAATAAAATAAAAAATCTGCCCTGAAGATAAGGATAGGGCTGAGAGATCAACTTCAAGTTCATTGCACGCTGCGACGTTTCCCTCCGCAGCGTGAAATTGATAAACAGATTTCGGAATGGTTAGAGAAACAAAGGATATGCCTTTATCCATTTTTTGCAGCAATTCCACTTTTTGTTTGATGGACATCGAAACATACTTTCGCTTTGTAGATCCTTTGGCAGCTCTAGCGTCGGAAATTCTATTTGACATAATCGAAAGTTCAAGCTTACTTTTATAAAATTGCTCTAACAGTCTGCAAAAAATAATAAGCCGGATCCAATTCGAATTTTAAGGAACAACGCAATCTGCAACATTAAATGAAATAGATAATTAGCCAATGCCAGTGATTAAAAATTGCAGAGTGCCTATGGTTCAAAACCATGTACCTCCTCATCAGAATTACATAAAAGCGAGCAGAAATAGGAAAATTGCATAAGTAGTAAACTTGATGCTCAATAGAGGGAGCCACAAGGCTTGAGAAAGTTTAGGGATAGCGAAAATTGATAAAACTTAAGAATACATAATTTTTTTGTAAGTTTTTAGATTTTTAATCATTTTTTTTAAATAGATAATTTTAGCTTAGCTTATACCGTCCGTTATGCATTAAATGCGCATGCGTAAACGTATTATGCGCATGCGTAAACACCTATGTGCATGCGTGAATGCATTATGCGTTGATGCATGCGCAGAAAGTTTGTAGCTTTGAGGCCCGGATTAATGACTTTTGACTGTAACAACTTGATTGGTTACTGATCCTTACATGGAGTCATCAGTGCAACTTGCCACCAGTTACCACAGCTTAACAATGGTTAGAGTATATTTAAGGGTACTCCTTGGATTATTGCTAAGTTGTTTCATTTACGGTAACCTGACTAGTTGAATGTTATGGAAACCCTATTCTGATGTAATTGTGTGATTGCAGTGAATTTTACTATGGGAAAAGATTTGTGTGTTGGATGTTAGTGGTTATTTTGTGGTTTACGCGGTAAAATGGCTGAATATAGTAAGATTAATTTGAATTTCTGTACAATTTGGAATGAAAGAGAAAAAGCAATAATTGACTGGTGTGTAAATGAAGGTTTACTTAGTAGCCATTATAAGTGTCCTGTTTCTACGAAAGAAATGCGTATGGTTGAACGTCAGAGGATACTGGCAGTACGTAGGATATTTTTTACTCTTATTTTTATGAATTTATGTGGCAATGCCAGTATGCAGATTCCAGTTCAGATAATTTTAGGAAGTTTTTGGATGCTGTTAAAGAATTTTGTTTGACTGAAGACACAGAAATTTCTAAATAAGTGGTTAATTCCTTTGCGCAGTGCTAAGATGAATTTCCTTTTTTATGTCATTTCATTGTTTGATTTAAAATGTAGTCTATTGAGATTATATATTTTTTGTGTTACTGTAGTGTAGAATTGCCTGCTCCTTTGACCTTTTTAAGTGAAAAATAGATCAGTGTGTACATGGATAAAGTCAAGGGAGTGTGCAATACCAAGTTTATGCAATTCTCTAATGATTTTTTTTAAAGTGAAAATAGGTCGATGTATACATGCATACCAAGTTTGTGCAATCCTTTGACTTGTTATTTTGCTTTGTGTAGCAGTGATTTTAGAGGCAAAAATCACCGCTACACAAAGCCAAAATAACAAGGTAATTGCACAAACTCGGTGTCCATGTATCGCCAATTTTCGCCAAGGGGCACCTGTAAATATATATTTTCTCTTAACAATGTAATATAGTTTCACACACACACCAAAAAAAAAAAAAGAAAAAAAAAAAAAAAAAGGAGACTAAAATATAGGTTTTTTTTTTTTTTTTTTTTTTTTTTTTTTTTTATTAAAAAAACTAAGGCAAGCACAGAATTTGATTAATTTCTAGTTGAATCAATAGAAACCTACCAATATGATCATTACACCATAACTAAATAAATTATTAAGGAAAGGAATGTGTAAACATTCAAATTGGCATATGCTCTGGAAACCTCTCTTTTTGTAGCGTGATCTTTCATGTCAGTACTTGGTGGTGCTGCAGCAGTAAATGTGTCTTGTATTTGCTACTGCTTTAGACATTTTAAATGGGGGATTAAAATGCATCCCTCCTTTAAGTTGATACCTTTGTCTAAGTAGCAGCAACTGTTCGTTGCTTGGCAATTGCTAGATCACACAATTGATACTATTTTTTTTTCTTTTTAAAAACTAATAAAAAGGAAAATTAGTGCATCAAAGTTTATACTTATTGCTCATTCATAATAATATTGTATAGCTATTCATGAAATTAAATATATAGGTTACTAACATTTGGTGCTTTAGTGTACAAATGTGACTGGTATTCATTAACTGACAAGAACTAGAATTATTTTCACTTGTACACAAATTGTTTTATAAAAGAGTTATGCTGTAGAATTCTGTATGAAGTGCCTTAAAATTGCATTCCTTAAACCCTTTGGAACTCACATTTGCAGTGAGTGGTATGCTGCAAAATTACTGTCAATATGACTTACTGCATTTATAATTAGTTAATCACTTCCACAAAATAGCCATTTAATAACAGTCAGAAAGTTGTTTGGTGTTATTTACTAATAATAATAGGTAAAATTAATCTTTTGATTAAATTTATCAAAGATGTTCTAGATTATCATTCAATTTTTTTAGGAAGTTATTCCTCGGAATGTTGCTGTCAGGGACATAAAGAATTGTCCTGGAAGACGCATTCAAATTGGTTTGGCTGGAGAGCAGTGACACATTATGGATTGTTTGAGGGATCTGTGCCACCTTTCAGTAATGCCGTTGGCTTGTGGGTGATACGCAGGGGTGTGAGAAAGGCGAATACCGAAGTTCTCGGCTAGTTCCCGAAAGAGTTCACTGCGAAATTGACTACCACGATCACTGGTGATCTGAGCAGGCACACCGAATCTTGAGATCCAGCCAGCATAAAGAGCAGTGGCAATGGTCTCTGCCCGTGTATCTTTTAATGGATATGCTTCAGGCCAATGAGTATACCTGTCGATGCATGTCAGACAGTAAGACATTCCTCGAGATGATGGAAGAGGTCCAATCAAATCTATATTGATATGAGAAAAATGTTCATCTGGAACTATAAAAGTAGTTAAAGGAGAGCGTACATGATGAGACACTTTAGCCTTTTGGCATTGTAGGCAAGTTTTAGCGAAGTTCGTGACGTACTGTTTCATTCCAGGCCAGACGAATTGATCAGTCACTATTTAACTTCAGCGTTGCTTTAGGTCCAGGAGGGGAAAGGTTATGCAGAGCTGAAAAGACAAGTTTTCTATGACTGTCTGGAACAAAAGGATGGATTTTACCATGTGAAATGTTGCAATACAGTTCTATAGAACTCTCAGGCATTTTTAACGTCTTTAATTGCAGAACTGGATTTTCTTTTGTCTAAAAAGGATTGGAGTACAGTGTCACTCTGTTGTGCTTTCGACATAGATTCATAGTTAATAGGAATGACATTAGCAACCATTTCGATGCAAGAAAGAGCATCGGCTGGTCATTTTCTGCACCACTCACATGTTGAATATCAGTAGTGAAGTGGCCGATGAAATTAAGTTGATTAATTTGTTGAGGTGAGAGCTTGTCATACTTTTTGGAAAAATGCTTTTGTGAGTGGCTTATGATCTGTAAGTACTTGAAAGTTCGTACCTTCAAGAAGATATGTGAAGTATTTCATAGCGACAAATATTGCCAACGGCTCTCGGTCGTACATACTGTACTTTTGTACTGTATTGCTCAATTTTCTGAAGAAAAATCTTAATGGTCCCCTGTTTGAGCATTGTGTTGTTGGGTGCAAGTGCTTATGGCTTTGTCTGATGCGTCGCACATGAGAGCATTTTT